GTTAATGATTCCCAACCAGGAATCTGTGGAGATCTGTTAAGGTAGCAATGAGGGTGAGGGCAGAGTAGATAGAATTATTTGGTTGCAAGTGACAAAAGCCCAACTCATATTGGCTAAAACAAAAAAGGGGTATTACTGGGAGTAAAGCTGACTTCTGGTTTGACAACCAAGGTTCTTGAGCTGTTGTTAGCTTCTGCTCTCCAACTCTCACTTTTGCTTCTTTCTGTGTTGGTCCTATGCTCAGGCACACTCCTTGTGGTGGCAATATGGCTGGTAGCAACCCAGGGAAAATGGAAACCCACTTATTCCACAACATTTTCAAAAGAGTGCTGGGCTATCTCTCAAAGGTCATTGTAGTTAACAATCCCTGGAGCTGGAGGAGGGTGTACCTAAAGGACAAGTGGGCAGCACTGTGAACAGAAGAAGGGAATTGATGCTCAGGGCAAAACTGACAAAGTGCATCTTCAAAATTCTTCAGTGTTTTAAAAAGCCTAACAGAAATAGTCCATTTACTAATGTTAAGGACATAGAAGCTAATGAACATATCATTGTTTTGCCTTTGTCTCAATTTATGTCAGTTCAGTTTGGAACACTGGATATCTCTTATTGACCAGAAGCTCTTTGCCTCATAAATAATTCAAAGGGAAATTAATTTCTGGTCGATCCCATTTAACAGTGCTGATTCATGTTAATCCTAATTTCTATGAAATTATTTCTTTAAAATATATCTTTTTCATACACAACATATCATAAATATTTCCACTTGGTATTGGAGGGCTAGTGTATGGTCTCAGCCAATAGGAACTGAATAAACTTGAATGTACTCATTCAGCCAATAATCATTACTGACCTACACCACAGGTGGCTCTTAGTCAACGGGCATACCAACTGTGTTTTTGAGAAATGAGGAAATTAAGGGTCTTTGGTAACCTGTGTTTTCCCTGCTGGGACCCTCTTTTCCTGCCATATATGTTGTGTCTGGAAAGCAGCTTTACCACCTACACCTGAAAGGGTATGGGAATATAATTTCTGAAGGAAGATGAAGAAACAAAGTTGAGTAACTCACTGAAGCTTTAAATGCAAAACTTAAGAGGCCTTCAGAGAAAGGGTCCAGAGTCAAGATGTGGAAGCAATTAGGCCATTGCGGAAGTCTTTTGACTTTAGGGAAACTTGGTGAGTACACCTGAGCCCAAAGGGGAAGAACTCATAATTATAGGTAGGAGAAGCCAGGGCCAGAACAAGTCATACATTGTGGGCATTGGGAAATCTAGTGCCCCGGGGAACCAGAGGCTGGGATCAAGCTCTGTTGGGCCAACCTACAGCAGTTGGCTCTCCAATTTTGAGGATTTGCAAATGTTAAAGAAAAATTGTAATTGCTTTATGTAATCATTAGACAATGTAAAGGGAAAAAAAGGAAGGACCATTTCTGCTGCTTTGCATCCCTTATCTTTTAAGGAACTCACTCTCTTTTTAGGTTTTGTTCATTCTATGAAGTTCAATTTAATTAATCTGGAGCATCATCCTGGGCATGTGATGGGTTCCAGGTCTGAGGCAGGAATAGGGTCTAGTGAACCAGGCACTTCCTAGACATTCCTGCCCCAGGACAGACAGTGGGTTAGGACCTGCATTTGTGAAGAGGAAAGTAAGTCACAGAGAGCACACTGTGGATGCGGGGAGGAATGGCAGGGAGTCCCTGATCCCCTCCACGCTTCACATTGAGCTCTGAGTGAATGAGCTCCTGTATTTCAGTTAAATGCTGAAGCATGTGGCTTGTGTGGGCTACTGAAGTAATCCTGAGCAAGGCAGGGACTCAGGCCATACCAAGTGATAAAATCTCTATTGTTTGAATTGGGAAGAGATCTCAGAGATGATCCTTGTCAAATGTCCTCATTCCAGGCACAGGGAAATTGAGGCCCAAAGAAAAGAGAAAGATTTGCCTACAGCTGCCAGGGTTTTGGAATGTTTGTTTTACCATCAGGACCAACCAGGAGTGCTGGTTAAAATGCTGACTCTTAGGCGCCATCCCAGACCTATGAGGTAGATGCTTTGGAAATGGCCCCAGGAATCTACATTTTAGGAAGTTATCCAGATGATTCCTAGACTCTGAAAGTTTGAGAAGCACTGGTCTAAGGATCCAAAACTGGTTTGTGATCGGCTGTGCAGTAGGGTTCCTGAGTTCAGACTCCAGGCTCTCTCTCTGACACTGGAGGACTGTAGGAGATGGTGACTGTGGAGAAAGTCAGAACCAGGAGGGTGAATGGAGAGCTAGGAAGGGTGAGGTTTTATTTCTAATTCCTTCTGCAGTTTGTGTAGGCATCTTTTCAGACTAGATGTTAAGACATTGAACAAATGATTCTTGTGTACCTGTCAGGCATCATGATGTTTAAGTGTATGTGCCTTGAATCCCTATTACTTTCTCAACTCCAGCTGATCAATTGACAGATGAAGAACCTCACACAAATTTCTCTCTCTGTTTTTAAAAGTTAATAGCCTCTCTCCAGTCTCCAATCCTTTGCATGTAACAGATGAGCAGATTGGCATGCATCCTTCTATGGCTTTCACATCTCAGACAAACTTAAGTTGCTAAGAACCGCAAGAGATGATCTCTAAATCTTAAATACAGAGATGAAATGAGAAGAATCAGTTCTTTTTGCTGGTTTTAAAATGACTTAGTCTCTACTTTGTATTAAAATGTCATTTACCTCTTGTTATAAATCGGTGTGTATTGTCTTATATTTCATTATGTGAAGACTTTTAGCATTTTAAGCCAGGATTCCTTTGGGATGTCCTAGGACCCCAATATAACTAGAGGCTAGTTACTAAAATTTTATTTTTTTAATTATAAAAAGTCAGTAAATAGTTCATGAAGTTACTAATAAAGACTAAACAAAGGAATAAAATGGGTATTCTCTTTAAAAACTCAGCTTGCACATAATATATGTTTCTATAGAACATTTGACTGAGCTCTAAGACAGGGAGCTGATACTGGCTCTGCTCTAAATATGCTGTGTGAACTTGAACAAAGCACCACCCTTTTCTGGACCTCAGTTTCCCTCTGCATAGAACAAGAGGGTCAGACAGGTGATTTCGGAAGACTTTTTCAGCTCTGAAAGTTTCAGGGTAAAGTAACAAGGGGTTATGAAATGTCCCACAGTGTGGGAGGGAACAAATATGTCATGATTTTGTTCCAGTATAATCTGTTTCACATTTAGTATAGTCCAACCTGTGATGGGTCCTCTGTGGAACACAGATGACTCACTTCCTGTCCTAAATGGATCTTCTCTGAAGGGCGGAACAGATCCTTCCTTCAGATATCAAGCCAGCCAAGGGGGGTCGAGTCTATGGGCCTTTGGCCAAATTCTGCATGTTCTTGATCTATATCAAATTAAACCTGATATTTGAGTGCACACGTGCGTACACACACACACACACACACACACACATACACAGAGTTAAGAACACAGCAGTTTAGAAGGTAGATGTTCCTGAAAAGTGTGCTCATCAAGTTTTCATAAACACAATCACATTTGACATTAAGTAGAGTAGTTGGCAATTGAAATGAAGATTAGGGTGAAAATTTTTATAAGGTGACAGATCTTTTTTGTGTAATTTGGAACGCTGGAGAAGCCTAGTATATTTCCACTTCTTCCAGGGAGTCGCCCCAGACTACTGCTGACTGTTGGTGCCTTCATTTATCTGTCTCTCCACTGAATTCTACTCTACTTTAAGAACTGGACCAACATAAGAAGGTATAAAAATACACTCTTAAAGCCACAGACTCCTAAAATGTTAGAGACCAAAGGACTCTTTGAAATGTCATCTCCTCATGTCACCTTTATCATTTGCTCATTCATTCATTCAACAAATATTTATTTAATGTTTACTATGTGTTAAGCACTGTGCTAGGTTGAAGATATAGGGCAAAAACAAGGCATAAAAGATTTCTACACTCATGGAATTTATATTTTGTGTGTGTGAGGAGGGGCAAGCCATGAATAAGTAAACAAGGTGTGACAATTGGCAGGTTGATGGAATGGGGAATTACTGGTCAGGTAGGGAGAGTTACTTTAGACAGGATAGGCAAAGAAGATTTCTGTAAGGATGTAACATTTAAACAAGTATCTGAAGAATGAGAAGGAGCTAATCATGGCAAATGTGTAGGGCTGAAGACAAGAAATAACTGGTAGAAACTGATGGTGAGGAAGAGCTGAGAGATTTAGAGACCAGGCTGGGGGAGAGGGTGTAAAAGGGGCTGGACTAGGGTTATTGTAACAGGAGGCTAGAATTTGGATAAGTTAAGATAAATTTTGAAGGTGAATAAACAAGACTTGTTTCTGGATTTAAAAAGGGGGTTGAGCCAGTGTGGCTCAGTGGTTGAACATCAACCTATGAACCAGGAGGTCACAGTTTGATTCCTGGTCAGGCACATGCCCAGGTTGTAGGCTCGATTCCCATGATTCTCTCTCATCATTGATGTTTCTCTCTCTCTTATATCCTTTCTGAAATCAATACAATCACATTTTAAAGAGGGGGGGGTGAGAAATAGGAAGGAATCAAGAGTACTCCTCCTTTAACATGAGAACTGGGTGAAAGGTTATTTAATGAGATGGGAAGATTGGGGAAATACAATATAGTTTTGGAAGGAAATCCAATAAACTTATTTTAGATGTAGTGAATTTGATATTTTTATTGGACATTCAAGCAGAGATTTTGAATAAGGTACTGATTCTTCTTGAAAGGCCCTCTAATTATTTCAAAAGTGTTAGCTTTATCTCTTATCTCTTGACCTAGACCAAAATGCCTCTGAAGGTAGGCATGGCTTATATTTTATATTTATTCTGTCTTCTCCATAGAAATCAAAGTGAGAGAAAAGTAGCAAAATCTTTATATTCCCGCATTCTAGAATTAGATAGACCTGCTATGTTGAGTCTGCTTGTACTGGCTCACAAGACCCAATTGCTAAAATTTCAGAAATGTCATGAGAAGTTGTTAAACCACCCTTGCGTTTATTTATGGTTGGAGTATTTACACAGTGAATTTGGCAAACTCTACAAATCAAGACTTCTTTCTGTAGAGAGTCTGGTTACCAGTACATCAAAGTAAGACCCAGAGTCACCAACTCAAATGACCTGTGGAGAAATGAAGATAACATTTATAAGTGATTTGTCTAGGTCTAGAAGCATTTCTCCTAATCAAATATCAAAGCATGCTGGTCCCTGTCTCACCTAAAATGAATTCCTAATTAAATCCAGAAACTTAAAGTTCTCAATCTAAAATATATATATTCAGGTTATTACAAAACATTCATTTCCCCTCTCATCCTCTCTCATAAATGTTTTTAAATGTGCATGATAAAAAAACACTTTCACAAAGTTTCACTGGGCCCAAGGGCCACCAGTGTGCAACTCAATATGAAGTTCTTGTTCATGAATTCAAGCTCAGTGGTTGAGCATCAACCTATGAACCAGGAAGTCACAGTTTGATTCCTGGTCAGGCACATGCCCAGGTTGTAGGCTCGATTCCCATGATTCTCTCTCATCATTGATGTTTGAATTCATACAGTCTGCCTCAATATGAACCCAAGTGTTCATCTCTAATTAGGGAGACATGTATCCCCTCTAGAATAGTTAAGCTCTAAGATGTCAGTTGTCATTCATAATTCCAGTCCAGTTTTGTTAGATCTTATGCTTTTTCAAGAGAAGCCAAGAATCTGGGTTTTAATGAGAAACTTCCCAGCTGTTGAAAGTTGAGTTAAAGTTTTTAAAAAAGTACCATGGGCCAAACAAAACACTTTCACAAAGTTTCACTGGGCCCAAGGGCCACCAGTGTGCAACTCAATATGAAGTTCTTGTTCATGGTCATTCATCTGGGGGTGAGAGAGGGCCTTCAGAATATGCCAGAAATCAACTTTCCTGTCAACCCTGCATGTGGAAGCCACATCACATTTATTTTTATCAAGAAACATTGTTTAAGTGACATATGTTATACTCTAGCATGGTGAAGCAAATCCATCACAGGTATATTTGTTTCTCTGGCTTGGTCATGGGTTCCTCTAGATGCACCAAGACTGCATCTTTTTATCTTCCAATAATGTAACACTAAAAACACAAATAGGAGCTTGCTATGCAAGGAGCCATGGAGACATTTTGCCCAGTCTATTGAAGAAACTGGTGCTCAAAGAGAAATCACTTGACCTAGTCCTCAATAGTGATTTAGTGACGAGTTGGGACTAGAACCCAAATATTTAAATGACAGATCCTAGGGCTTAAAAGGACCTATGGTTCTCAGGAAATATTCACTGAATTAATGAGTACATGAAACAATAATGTAAGAATGAATGTGTGAATGAGTAAGCACAATCTGAAATGATCAACTGGTTTATGGAACACAATTTAAAGTAAGAATCATGTGAATTGGGACTTGGTTTTAGTTCTTCCACTAACTACCATGTTACCTTCAGCATGTCTTTTATCCTCTCTGGTCCTTAACTTACTTATCTATAAGTTGTCTTGTCTCTCAGTGTTGTTTAAAAAATCATAAACTAGTAGTAACAGTCAAAAATTATTGAGTATTATATTCCAACCATTGGTCTAAATACATGAGTTTTGAGAATACTTACAATAGTTCTATAAAGTGAGCACTATTTTTACCACCTCTATTTTGTAGATGAAGAAACGGATGCACAATATTATAACGAATCTGGCCAAGTTCATACAGTTTGCAAGAAAACAGTGAATGATATTTGAAGCTAGGCATTTTATTCTGGAATTATAATAGCAATAAAAGTGCAACAAAAATAAGAGGATGGCATGAATGTATGAACACAACACTTTTGGGAAGCTCAGGCCTGTGGCACTCCTATGGCTCTTAAAAATGATGCTCAAAGTTGAGACTTTTTCCCCTCTGTTTGACACTGTAGGATTGATGTTAAAATAACTTTGAGAATTGGATTAAGTGACCTCTGAAGGACTATTTATTTATTTATTTATTTGAGAGAGAGAGAAACATCAATTTGTTGTTCCACTTATTTATGCATTCATTGGTTGATTCTTGTATGTGTCTTGACTGGGGATCAAAGCCCCAAACTTGGTGTATTAGAGACAACACTCTAACCAACTGAGCTACTCGACCATGGCCTGAAGGACCTTTTAGATTAATTTAGAAATCTGCCTTCTAGTTCTGTAACTTCTTTGGGTAACCTTGACAGATCCTCTCTATGTATACAATGGAGTTGAACACATTAAAAATTCTTGCAACTCTGATAGTCAAAGGTTCTATGGAGACTTTAATAAGAAGCTAACAAGAGTCAGGATTCTTTTTAATTGCATATTACAAAAACCTAACTCAAACTAACCTAAACCAAAGAGGGAATATATTAGCTCAGTAACAGAAAAGCTGAATTGTAGCCTTGCTTTATACATGGCTTTATCCAGGGTCTCAGATAACATAGGTTTTTTTTTTCCAGTTCTCTCCATGTATGAGTAGGATAGTCACCTAAGACTTGCACTCTATCAACTAAGTAAACCCAATGGGGAAAAATAATTCTCTAAAACCAGAAAATTCATGGTGAGGAATTAGATTGACTTGCTTTGGTATAATATTCACCTTCATTCTGGCCTTCATCTTCATATGGGGACCAGACCCAAGACATAGGTTTGCCTCTTTGGTTATGTAGGAAGAGTCTATCTTATGCATAATACTTGGATGGGTTTTCCACTGAATAAGAACTTTCTGTATGAGAAGAAAGAGAGAGGGTGTGGGTAAGCAGAAACACAGCAGTCAACTCCAACCAGCTGCACTTCCCACATAAAAGGAAGACTGACAGAATGGGTATCCTGTGTCTGACCCTTCAGCTCAGAATCACAAATTGTGCTATTGGTCCTCCGTATTAGGAATGAGTCATTGCTACATATTTCTTTTCCTCCATCTTCAGGGCCATTTGGACTCAAACAGTGACATCAATGCATATCATGGAATTGTTCTTTTGTCTTGTAGTTACAGTTCATTAGAAAATATATATGCAATGATGATCTCAGCACAGGCAATAAATTAGGAAATAAATGATTAGGCTTTGAGCAATGTTTTCCAGAACTGTATTAGATTGTGAGGATTCCACCAATTAGGCAACTTGGCTAATGCCTCTAATCTAACTCAACACCCCTAGTGTGTACTGGAGAGGGTGACCAGACCTTTGCTTCTTTTGGCTGGCACAAGTAGTTACTTGTGCTAATCAGCAGGAGGGAAACAGGAAGAAGGAAAGGGATAGGAAATATCTACCAGCAAGATGTGAAGACAAAACCTCTCCTGAGCAGTGACTCCTATGAGACTAATGAACAGAAAAGAATTTGATCAGCCCTCCACTCAAAAACATCTACACCTACACTTTGTATACTCACAGCTTGTTAGAGCTGGAAGGATGTTTAGACGTGACCTAATCCAACTCTTTTATTTCAGAGATAAAAAAAAACAAAAACCAGAGGCCCAGATTGAGGAAATAACTTGGTCAAGGTAATGCCGCAAAGGAGTAGCTAAACCTGAACTTAACCCTAAGTTAAGTTCATTATAGATTTTCCAAGTGCTCATTCCTGTGTGGCAAGCTCCCTTTGGCTGTGCCCTCAGGGCTCTGGTAGACATTTGGAATTACGGAAGCTTTGCTGATGAAGAAACTGAATTTAATTTAATCTACACTGGAAGTTCAAGGAAGAGAAATAACAAGTGGCCATTGCAATGCCTTAGACTTAAATATTTTCCACTTTTACTTCTCTAAGCTAAAGAAAGGAAGTAATAGCTTGAGGCTTCTCAATGTTAGAAAATAAAAAAGTAATTCATGAGTCTTTGAAAGGTGGTGAATGGACATATGTTATGTATGTTTGTGTTTAGTGAATATTGAAAGAGTGCTAAAGGAGAAATTTGGGGATCTAAATTCTACTTGGATATGGGTCTTAATGGGTAATCTTGGAAAACTCATTCTATCTGGGTATTGGTTTCCTCATCTGATTTTTAAGTTGCTGGTCAAGCTTTAGGGGGGTCCAAAAAAATTTCTTTGACATGCTTTGAATGTCATTGTTATGGATAGAAAAGAAACTTTTTGGATGAAAGGTGGCTGGCCTAAAGCCAGTCTTTGCAAAATAAGTTCCCTCATTACTAATCTGGCCCAATGAAATAAGCACAGGGCTAAGAGTCTAGGACAGTTATGGCAAACCTTTTGAGCTCAGCGTGTCAGCATTTTGAAAAACCCTAACTTAACTCTGGTGCCGTGTCACATATAGAAATTTTTTGATATTTGCAACCATAGTAAAACAAAGATTTATATTTTTGATATTTATTTTATATATTTAAATGCCATTTAACAAAGAAAAATCAACAGAAAAAATGAGTTCGCGTGTCACCTCTGACACGTGTGTCATAGATTCGCCATCACTGGTCTAGGACATGGCTTTGTTTCTCTTTGCTCCATGACTTTGGGCAAGTCCTTGACTTTTTCTAGGCCTTTAAAAAAGTCTCTAAAATGGGATTTACACCTTTGCATGCTTGCCTCACAGGGCTGTTACATGGAGATAAAGGATGTAGAAATGCTTTATGATATGCAGGCTCTTTTATATACAAGGGAAGGGCAAAAGTAGTTTACAGCTGCGTTGTGGCATTCTTTTGAGTTAACAGAACTATTATAATAATCATAACCTGCATGTCTTTTTCCATACGAACAACTGCAAACCTACTTTTTCTCTTGGTGAATGAGAATAATGTAGAAACAACCTGTAGAACCAAAATTCAATGTGGCCAAGATGACACTGAAGGAGCTGTAATTTATTTTTCACAGGGTCATTTTGTTTTCCTACTAATAGTGCAAGTTGAAACAGGGCTAAATAAAATGCCCATACTTTCATTTTGCCTGAAACAGGCCATGATCATCCTGGTGCAATTACTAATAATACATGTTATCACGCTCAAAAGTATTTCTTTTTGGCAATAAATTAAATTGTTATCCCTAAACTTAAATATCACTATATTCAACCTCTTCATTTTTCATATTATGAAATAGAGGCTCAGAGAAGAGAAATGACTTCCTAATTCACACAGAGCTTTCCCAAAGTCTGGACTTGGCAAACACTTCTTTCTACCTGAAAAGAAAGGGTAGGAGAATATGGGGTAAGAGAATCTCTCCCTTTAGCCATTCTCCAGCTTCTTGAAGCAATTGCTTAACAAGACCAGCCCCACCTTTCCCTTGGTTTCCTGGAAAGTGATCAGCCATAGTGCGTCTGCCAGTGGCCATGGGAGATGGAGCAAACATTATAGGACCCTGGAAACGAAAGGTTTTTTCTTTTTCCTCTTCTGTACCCAGAAGAAAAACCCCAATGGAAGAACCTCTGTCTATTAATAGTTATCCCTTATTCAGACACATTTTATTATCACTCATAAATCACGTTCATATCCATCATCTCATTTGATCTAATTCTTACTAACTTTGGAAATGGTTTTGGAGGCACCTTATTCCCATTTTGTAGCTGAGAAAAACAAAATCTACAAAGACAGGTGACTTGTTTTTGGTTTCATAGTAAGTTGAGCCAGAGTTGGGAACAGAGTTTAATCTCAGATCCCCTGGCCCAGGATTCCTTCTACTTATTATCCTAGCTTCCTACAGGGTCTGCCCTTAGGCATCTTCTAGGAGAAAAATCATTATAATAAGGCCTTTTTGGTATTTAAGTAACTAAATCTTCTTGGATGGAGCCCAAAGCAGACCCATTTTATATCTTGAATTTGACTCTGTGGCAAATAGTGTTAGAACATGGTTCATGATCAACTGTGAGCTTTGTCCTACAATAATTTCTGAGAAGATGAGTATGTAGATCAAAAACAGGGTACTTCATTCTGGAGTAAGATTTTTCTGTTTTAAAATTGTTGCTAGGATCATGGGGAATAGAGTTTCACAACAGTAACTAACTGTGCTGTGCTTGCAAATCAGTGACCCAATAATTTGCAAAAATTCCCATTTCAGAGAGATTTGTTCTGGTGGAGACTGAAATTCTTTATTTGGAACTTGACACATCCCAGACCCATAAGAAGTCAGCTTGACAAGAGATGCTGTTATATACATCATCACTCTGCCTTAGGGAGGCAACTATGTGGATGTGAGTGCTTTGGTGGCAAGAGTCAGGGACTTAGCCATGATCCTGATTCTGTGTGTGACTCATGTGATATTAAAAAGCCACTTTTCATTTTTTTGGTTATTGGAAACTTCTTCCCAGTTGATCTAATAGGAAGACATAGGCTTTAAATCAGGCAGACCAGGATTTGAATCCTATGTTCTCTACTGATTAGCTGTGTGATTTGAAGAAGTTAGTTGAGCTCACTGAGCCCCATTTTCCTCAAAAGGGGATAAAAATAGTCCTGCTTTAACTCATAGAAACATAGAACTCAGAGACCAAAGGGATGGTTGCCAGGTGGGAGAGGGTGGAGGAAGGGTGAAAAAGTGAAGGGGAATATAGTCAATAATCTTGTGATAAGTTTGCCTGGTAACAGATGGTCACTAGAATTAGCGGGATGATCACATTGTAAGGTGTTAAAATGTCAAATCACTGTATCGTACACCCAAAACTAATATAACCCATCTAGGATTGTATACCAACTATCTATATTATAAAAGGCCAGTGCCTGTAATGCCATAATGACCAAACAACCAGTCACCAGGAGGTGCATTGATGGGTCTCACGGTGCGGTGGGTCTGGGGTCCTGCGTGGCGTGGCGGGTCTGAGTCTCATGTGATTTCGTGTGCTGGGCCTCTAGGGAATATATATATATATATATATATATTTATATCTATATATATATGTATATATATATATATATTTTTTAAGGAAAGAAAGCCACTTTTCATTTAGGGAGCCCAGTTTCTTCAACTGTCAGATGTTGAGATTGGATTAATCAGCATGCTTCTAACTTCTAAAGTTATTGGATTCTTTTTTCTGAGAATGATGTGGAAACCTAGAATGTATAAATGAGTCAAAGAGGTGGGGATACGGACTGGGAGCCCATTCATTCAATCATCTTGTGTGACCATGTGATATGTGCATGGAAGGGGTCAGTATGGAAATAATTGATAATGTCCAAAAATGATTTTATCCCCCACCACTGGCATTCTAAAGACCAGTAATATCGTTTTTTAAAAGTTATAAACATGGCTATTTATTTAGAGAATATAATAGAATTTTAAAAGCTGATAAAATCAAAAACATCATAACATCTAAAAAGTATTATATGTGTATTAATTAAGTGCTTGCCATACTTCTCCAATCTTTTTTTAAAAACATATAAGGGGTTTGGGGCATTACTGATGTCAGAAGAGTTACATTTTTTTTTATTTTCATTGAATTTATTGGTGTGACATTGGTCAATATAAATATATAGCTTTCAGATATACAAATTTATAATAAATCATCTATATATTGTATTGTGTGTTCACTACTCCAAGTAAAGTCTCCTTCCATCTCCATTTCCCCCCCTTTACCCTCTTCTAATTCCTCCCACCCCCTTTCCCTCTGGTAATCACCATACTGTTGTCTGTGTCTCTGAGTTTCTACTTTACACTTAAAGGAACTAGAAAAAACAACCAACAAAACCCAGAGTGAATAGAAGAAAGTAAATTAATAAAGATCAGAGCTGAAATAAACCAAATAGAGTCTAAAATAAATACAAAATATTAATGAAACCAAGAGCTGGTTCTTTGAAAAGAT